ATCCGAAAAAAATCCGAACCGAACCGAAAATTTTCAGATTGAAATTTTTGCAATCCGAAACCGAACCGAAGTTGATCCGAACCGAAAATTTTCGGATTAATCCGAACCGTTCGGAGCTTTAATTATATTACTTATATTACTTATAATATCATTACTTTAAATTATTAACTATGTGATACTCAATTAATTGTGATATGTTAATATTAATTATAATGATATTTTTTTCTAATTTTCATTATTACTTCAACTCTTCTTCTTTTTAATTTACTAAGCTAATTTTTCTTATGTATTTTAGATATTTTTGTATTTAATACTTTATTTTCTCTAAATAAAATTCCTTATTACTATAAAATAATATATCTTATTTATTAAAATTCTATATAAATAACTATAAATAACTATAAATTACATACTTTTATTTTTTTTTATTTTTTTTTATTTTTACTACTTCTTTTTTCAAGCATTAATATATTTAATACATAAATGTACTTATCATTAATATAAGATTTGGTGAATTTTGCAAAGATGATACAGCTGTTGTTAGTGGTGATAGTAATAATTTTAATGGTGATAATGTAATTGGTGAAGTTGCTTTAGAAAGTGATGATTCTTCAATAGAAGATGATGATAATTTTTTTGAAGGAGATAATGAAATTGATGATTCTTTTGAAGTTTATATAGGTTTTTTTTTGATATTCTACATAATTGACTATAGCATTAGTACAAAGTAAACAGATAATGTAGATAAAAAGTCATTGTCATAATTGAAATATTGATTTTTTCATACAAATAATATCTGATGAGAATTCACGAGAATAAGCGATTCTTTTTTGTTTATGTCATAAATTTCAGGTTTAACAGTTTTATCACAAAGATTTACTGTTTTCTTTCAGTGCAAACATATTTGGTACTCTAACAAGTACCAACTATATAATTATTATATTTACTAATAGACTTTTGTCTTGTATTATGCATACTAAAGTGAAAACGCGAAAGTCGCGAAAATGTGTGGCTTATTATTTGATATATGAATTTATTGAATGTCTGTTGTGTTACAGAAAATCCGTTGATTCTAAAACTAAATATAACATGTAGTCGATTTTTAATGATCTATAATTACACGAACTTGAATTTTTTTTAAATCACTAGTTACTTTTTGATAATTTCTTAAAAAACCGTCATAATTTATCACCTAAAGATATACGTTTGTTAGTTCTTAATTCCTATAAACTTTGTAATATTAGACGTTAGTCGGAAATACTTCATTTCATAATGTCTTATTACCTTTATCAAATTATTATCGACTTCGTCTAAAAAATGGAAGCTTTTATTTTTTTCAACGCTTTTGCAAGGTAATTCATTTTTTCGGAAATTAATTTTGACAAGGATACAGCTTAAAATATTTTATTATTTAATAATTTACGAACGAATTACTAAAATTTCGAAAGTAAATTTTCAACGACATTTTGTAGCTCCATATTTTCAGGTGACCATTTGTATCAAAAGGAAATCAAATTTAAACGCTAATTCACCTATACTAGAAGATAAATGACCATCCGAGAAGAATTCCTAATTCTTAATTCTGATAAAACAATTATATTTTGATATCGATGACAACTCAACATTAGTAGTTAATTATATTCGATAACGTTAGTGAAGTATCATACATTAACGCAGTGTTGACATCTGGCCGGTTGGCCTCGGCCAAAATGGCAAAATTTTATTTTAAGTTTTAGCCAGCAAAAGTTATTATTTTTATATAAAGTTCATGTAATTTGCAAAAAATTGACGCCTTCGACGTTCGGGATGTTCAAATTCTTGCATTTTACAAAAATTGACGTTTCCGACGTTCGGGACGTTCAAATTCTTGCATTTTTTGCAAAAATTGGCGCCTCCAACGTTCGGGACGTTCAATTACAACAATTTGTCGCCTCCATTTTTTGAACGCAAAGGTAAAAATGAAAGAGAATTAATAACACTCTAAAAAAAAAGAAAAAATTGAAAAACTTTTATTTATTCTCAAAGGTGTCTGACTATTGATTATGTATCTGTCGTGGTATTTCTTACTTGAATTCCTGTACAAATCTTAGATATGCGATCGATAAAAATAAAATAAATAATGAATATTATGAATATATACCAAATGTAGTTGATATTATTAATTGGATGGCCCCTGAAAAATTCTAAATTGCCGATATAATGAAGAATTAGGTATTTACAAGAAATTTTTCATTTATTATTTCATTATGAAACTAATAATATCAAATTTTTTTAATTTAGAGTTATTATGGGAGCTTGCTTTCGAAACCATTCCTTACAAAGGTGGGACGTACGAATGATAAAAAATCACGTTTTAAATAATCATAGAGAAAACTTAAACATTAAATAAAATAATGACGAAAAACTTCAGGAAAGTTATTTTAAAATGATTATAAATAGTAAGTATTATTTTTATTAAATAGAATAATAATTTTATTAAAAAAATTTGATTAATTACAATGTTTCTTTTAGCTTGGCATCATAATCCCAAAGAACGTTCCAATCCTCGGACCGTACTCTTCGAGCTTGATAAATTAGTTTCAACTACCATCAAAATAGATTTTCTTAAAGTTGATTCCAAAGTATATTAATCAATTTATTGCTGAATCTGTTGACGTGTTAGAAGATAAAAAGTGGATTGAAGGTGCTATTAAAATAGAGTTAAAATTTTGACGTCGATACTAGGATACAATAAATTAATATATCAAAGTTTTAAAAAACGTGGCGTGGAAGCTTATCATATCCTTCCTCTTCAAAAGAAACTTGAACTTCAAGAAAAGTTTAAAGATTTAGGCAATAGTACAGGAGTTATTCAATTTAGCAAGATAATTATTGAGGCGTTTAGTTTTTAAAAATACAGGTTGGATACTCATTAAGGAATCGGGTAAATTAGGTAAGCTTGTTATTGAAGTATTTGTACAGTCAAGTTCCATTAAGGAGTTGGGTAATGTTGGTAGGATAGTTATTGGAGTATAAGAGCAATTAAGTACCGTTAAGGAATTGGGTAAAGTTGGTAGTATAGATATTGGAGTATAAGATACATTAAGTACCGTTAATGAGTTGGGTAATGTTGGTAAGATAGATATTGGAGTATTAGAGCAATTAAGCTTCGTTAAGGAGTTGGGTAAGGTAGGTAAGATATTTAAATGAGTATCATAGCATATAAGCTTTGTTAAGGAGCTGGGTAATGTTGGTAGAATAGTAATTGGAGTAACAGAACAATTAAGATTCGTTAAGGAGTTGGGTAATGTTGGTAAGCTATTTATTTTAGTGCTATAACACTTGAGTACCATTAAGAAGTTAGGTAAATTTGGTAGGATAGTTATTGGATTATCAGAACAATCAAGATAATTTAAGGAGTTGGGTAAAGTTGGTAGAATAGTTATTAGAGTGTTAGAGCACTTAAGAAAAGTTAAGGAGTTAGGTAAAGTTGGAAAGCTATTTATTTTAGTGCTATAACAATAAAGTTTCGTTAAGGTGTTGGGTAATGTTGGTAGGGTAGTTATTTTAGTCATATTACAACTGAGTTTAGTTAAGGAGTTGGGTAAAGTTGGTAAGTTATTTATTTTAGTGCTATAACACTTGAGTACCGTTAAGGAGCTGGGTAATGTTGGTAGGATAGTTATTGGTGTATCAGAACAGTCAAGATAATTTAAGGAGTTGGGTAAAGTTGGTAGAATAGTTATTGGAGTGTTAGAGCAATCAAGGTCCGTTAAGGAATTGGGTAAAGTTGGTAAGCTATTTACTTTAGTGCTATAACACTTGAGTACCGTTAAGGAGTTGGGTAAGATTGGTAAGCTATTTATTTTAGTGCTATAACACTTGAATACCATTAAAGAATTGGGTAAAATTGGTGGGATAGTTATTGGAGTTAAAGAGCAATTAAGTTCCGTTAAGGAGTTAGGTAAAATTGGCAAGATATTTATTTTAGTGCTAGAACACCAGAGCACTGTTAAGGAGTCGGGTAAAGTAGGTAGGATAGTAATTGGAGTATCAGAGCAATTAAGATAAGTTAAGGAGTTTGGTAAAGTTGGTAAGCTATTTAATTTAGTCAGATAACACTGGAGTACCGTTAATGAGTTGGGTAATGTTGGTAGGGTAGTTATTTTAGTCATATTACAACTGAGTTTAGTTAAGGTGTTGGGTAATGCTGGTAAGCCTGTTATCTGTGTATTGTCACAATCGAATACTTTTAATTTCCGATATCTTTGCAATCCTCCTAAGGTGCTTAATATGTCATCCTTATTATATTCTGTAATCGTTAAACTTTCAATAATATCATCATAAATAATGTCTGATACTTTAATATTTGATTCTAATTCTTCTATATTTTCTTGACCATCCAAATTATGAATAATTTCAGAATTATTTGATGCATAATTATTCATTTGATTAATTTCTCCAGAATTTTGATTTATTTGATTCCAATTTATAATTTGACTTGAGGAATTATTTGAATTATTTAAAGGATCTATTGTATCCGAATGAGCAGGATTTTGATTTTGCAAATCTTCCATCTCACTTTGTTTTGAAATAACCGTTTTAAGAGTTGAAACAACATCTTGTATACTTGGACGTTCATCGGGTTCATATTTCCAACATCCTAATTGAATAAACTGAGATTAGAATTATTTCTTTTTTTAAAACTAAAAAAAATATTGACATTATAAACATACTTACGTTCATATAGATTGCTATATTCAATAGGAGTACCTTTAATTTTTGTTTCTCTTTCTCCATTGATTATTCTTAAGTTTAATATTCTTGCGTCATCTTCATCATAAAATGGTTTTTTTCCACTTGAAATAAGCCACATCAAAACTCCGATACTATAGACATCGGACTTTTTATTTAATTTGTATTTCTTA